AAACGTTTTTTTTTTTCAAAAAACCGGCTTTGTTAAGCTTTAGCGACAAGTGTTGTGTACATTTTGACGCTATCCCGAGGTCTATATCATTAAAATTGCGAAAAAAATCTTTGAAATACGAGCACCTATTTTTTGACCCTTAATATCAGGATAGCTCTCGTAAAATTCAATATTATGAACTCAATTTTTTACTGAGAAGACTATCCAAAGTCAGATACATATTCAGTAAAAATTCCACTAAGATTGAGTGCTCTGGAAAAAAAATAGATTTTTGACCCGGGGGGGCCCTTAACAAATTGTTGTTTTTCTATAGATCGTGGAAAGAAAGAAATAGAACAGAAAATGAGATCAACTATACTAACTGGATTATGAGTCATAATTTAGTTCGACTGGAGAAGAAAAAAATACTATGAGCCTCACCTAGTTTCATGACGCTCCGCCGCCCCTGAGTCAACCTTCTATGAGATAATTCTTTTCGGGAAAATGACTCTGTATTTTGCGCTGACACGAGAAGCCTACAATCATGAGCGACCTCCATTTTGTGAATAGGAGAATATTAATATGAATTGAATGGTTAGTGCCAGATAGCATTATAATGAACAAGAACGCAAGAACAAGTAATCATTCATTGTGTGTTTATTTTCGCATATGAGTAGGTTGTCAGCGGTACATTTCTTTGACAAACTGTTTTATATTTTGACAATTCTTATTATTGCTTCTTTTTATCTTTTCAAATCGTCTTATATTATGATTCTATACTTTCATATTTGTTTTATTTTAAATATACTCAAGATGTTAGTTCAGTTAGTTTTTTTTTTCATTAAAGTTAAATTGGTTTCAAACTTGGTGCAAAATGTGCAACAGCTTGTGCTACCTGATCAATATCAACATCCAGACGATTTGCACAAATAATAAGCACCATTTTGCTGCCTCCTTCGTTTGTGATATGAATTTTCACATTATGTTCTTTTGCGAAGTACTCAATCTTATCATCAGAACCGATTATCTTATCAATTTCATTGAAGTTGATATGGTACTGCTTGTGAGGAAAAGAATAAATACTCGATTTGAGACTGTTTTTAATCCGGTCAAAATCAGGCATAAATTGATACAGTGGTTTCACACCTAATAGTGCTGCATCCAATGATGGCATGCAGTAAGCTAAAGCTTCAGCGATCAGCTCGTTCCAACAGATAATCACCGGCCCATGTCGCTTGATTGATACATTATTATCGGTACTGGATGACACTAGTACCGTATCCACATAATCCAAATTCAGCTTCTCAACCAGGGATTTAGGCAGGGCTAGCTCGCTGCATCCCGTATCCACTTTGATCATCATATTAATCATGTTCACTTCGTTAGCAGCTAAAAGACCAGACGATTTCTTCTGTTGATCCGACCAGTTCATTAAACACACCTCCACCTCTAACCATTTTTCCTTTGTGCCTTCATTATTTGCCATATCCTACCAGTTCGAGATAAAATATGTATTAGAATCGCATTTGAAATCAATCCTTTCATCTTTCGCCAAAACCAATTCAGATAAACTCATTGATAAAAAATACTACCTGTCTACTATGTTTTTTTTCTTTCTAAAAACTGTTTAGTCCTTTATTTCCAGATTATTCTCCTGATTATATTAAACATAAGTAATATTTTCCTATTTAACTAATTTTAGTTTTTCTTAATTTCAGATTTATGGTTTAATGTGATTCACGACAGAATCTTGTATGCTTATTGTCTGATGACCGAAGTTCTCTAATGTGCCAGTTGAACATTATCAAAGAAATAATGTGATAAAAGCTATCTTTCAGTTATTCAAAAGATTTATAGAATGATTTAGGTGCTCGAGGTTTTTTAGTATTCATCTTTTTTTTTATATAAAATTTAAAAATATATTTTATGTCTATAATAAAAACCAAGGAAAGTACTAAAAAATAAACAGCTGTTCTTACTTTATTTCTTGTTTATGAAGGAGAGAAAAGTATCGAACACACTGTGTATGTTTATGTATTCGTGTGTGACTGAATAATTCCACTCTATAGGCACAGAAAAGACGTGATAACGTCAGAAACACTTCTATATACATCTTCTCTTATATATCGATATATGTATTTCTTTTCTTTCAGATTTATGACCTCATTTTAGCGATGTGAAGTAATATATGCAGTCGATCGATTTGAATTTAATTATCAGTAATGCACATGAAGACGGTTGTGCTAATATTGGTTTGTTCAATTCATCTGAAGTTCATCGAGTAATATTAACAAATGTGTTTTCGATACCAAAGAATAGGCTTGTTTTGATCAGTGACACGATGGGACAACGTCTTGGTCTAAATGTGCACAAGACATTACCTCCACACAGTTTCGATTCTTGGATCGACAATATCATTCCATCTCGTGGCCCATATCAAACATGTGAAAACGTTTATTTATCACTTGATCCCATCACTTATAAGCTTAAATCTATTGCTTATCCTGTTTTAGTTCCAGATCTACCTGTTGATTTTGTATTAGGCACTCTATTTTTTGATGAGTTAAATATCATATGGAGTTCGCGTTTAAATCGTCTAATTACTCGTAGGGAAGAAGAAGAAGATGGAGAGGAAGAAGAAGAAGACAGAGAGGAGGAAGCTCGTCGACAAACCTATCGAAATATTTTATAGAAAGAATATAATAGAAGAAATTCAACAAAATGTTTGTCCTTATTTTTCGCGAAAGAAATTTATTGCTCAGACCTTAAAGTTCTTTTTACTGGTCTTTCTTGTATATACTGAGTATGTTTCTTCAATAAGATCAGTGCTGAAAAAAATAATAGCTTGTGAAATATATTTTCAATTTTGTAATAAACGATCGTAGTCGAGAACAAAAAGTCAATTTGTCTAAGTTTTTTTCGTCATTGTTGTTTATGCTTAAAGATACTCTTGTCCTTTTTACGTCAAAAAAGAACGTGCTTTTACAGAAAGATGTTATCTTTTTTCAATTGTACGAATTTCTCTATTCTATTATACACTTTCGTTTCATTTTACTGTTTTGAGTTAATTGTATTCTGTAAATATAATCGATTACGTATCGAGTCAAATAATTTGTTTTATTTATTCTATCTCAACTAATGCGTTTAACCATTCATATACGTCGCTTATTTAATAATATAAAATATAGAAATAAAACAAACAAATATTATCTTAAATCAACTAAATATAGGCCGTTTCACCATAGATCAAATGCTCAGCATGTCGTCGCTGTCAACGAGTGGAGACATATTGAATAAATTAGCCATTTGTTCAACATTCAATTGTAAAGATTTAACCTATTTGACTGTGAAAACACGTTAAAATGCTGTATTTTAACGGAGTTCTACAAGTTATTGTGCCTTAATCTCAATTTAATAAGAAAACACTAGTGAACCTCTGTTAACTCTTTGAGTACCATTACTCAATCAGCGAAGAAAATTTCTTTGAGACTTTATATTTAATATGAGCAGTGTGTATTATGGATATTTTCATCAAAACTTTTTCAAAATCGTTAAAGCCATTTTCGACCTATGCCCGTACTCCCCATGGGGATGGTGAATAAGTATTTTGGTCATGCTGTAGAGGAGTACGGGCTTAAGTCCAAATTCCTTTGAGAGCTGTTGCAAAACAAATTTTTGGAACCTCAACAGGAGTCACTAACATGATTCCAACACAAAAAACCGAAATATTTTATGAACCGCAAAAGGACATCACTCGCTGTCCTCATCTTCGAAACAAACCGCCTTCATCTGCGGTGATTTAGAAAAGGAAGCGATTTTTTCTGCAATCGGCCACTCGCTGATCTACGCGGTTTTTTATAAAATATAACTGACGAGAACCGCTGTTATACCCGCAGCGATTCAGAAAAATGTAAAAAGACACCCGCAGTTTTTACACGAGGGAGCGGTTATTGTGTGGCAAACCGCCGGTTTTAACCGGTTTTTCTGCTTGAAATTGAACAGGTGTGACCCGTATGTTGGACCGGTTTTTTATGTGTTTTCGTGTACGGGACGTGTGATGTCCCATTTCTCTCGCTTTCTGCAGCGACCACCGGTGCAAATCTAGATCATGTACTGTTAGAAATTCTGCTCTTGTCTTCTCAAATTGTTCATAGGTGTAACTGTCAATGACATTCAACTTCTCCGGCTTCGTTCCTTGCTGTTGGATGTAATGTTTGACGCGAGTAATGTAGCCATGATTTTTGACTTTCTTAAAGGAGGAGGGCCATTAAGTGGCATTTTCATTCTAAAAAATTTCGCTATAAATCTTACATATTTGGAATCAGCATCAAATTCTGAACAAGACAGCGCTTTTAGAACTATCAAATTTGAAAAAAAAATTTTTAGGCGCTACGAAAATTTAAAATGCCTTTTCTTTCAGTCAGCGCAATGAATTTTTCTGAAACCTAGTGACTTTCAGAAGTTGTTCAATCACATCATTGAATAGCCTCTTCAATTCTCTACAGAATGAGATATTGGCGAAGTTTCTACGCTGTTCTGTTGAAAACTGGCATACAAAGTACGATACATATCGAAAGTTCAGCATTAAAGCAAAAATTGTCGATGGATTTATATTCGTAATGTTAAAAAGCCTGTAACTCGGTCGTCTGAAAGAAAAGGCATTTTTAAATTTTCGTAGCGACCTTTAAACAAAATCCTTTCCATGACCAGTCCTCAATAAACAAGAAGTTTTTAATTAGCTGTTGGATGGAGCTCATTTCGGAGTATATATGTTAAAAAAATCTCGACTTTATTTCTCATACTGGCTGAGAAAATTAAAATTCCTTCCAACATCCACTTGGCATTTACAGTAAAAATCAGCTCTCTATAATTAACGCCACCTATTAGAAAAATGCTTATATCTCTTGAGCGAAATAACCATTTGAGCTGAAACTTTCAGGTTATTCCTAAATGTGTTTGATCTTCATATCCCAAAAGTTTGAACGAAATCGGTCACACCTTGGATGTAACATTTCGCTGTCCCTATAAAAAAAACATTACAGAATCCAAAATAGCAGGGATGCGCAGGGCTGCCAGATCCGGCATCTCTGCGCACCCCTGCCAAGAAAATGCCAAATGGATGCTCATCCCTGCCAAGTGGATGCGCATTCCTGCAGAAAAATGTCGGACAGATGCCAAAAAAATGCGCACCGCTGCCATTTTCAGAAATTTTGCCCTGCCTGAAAAGATGCTGATTAGATACGCATTTCTATGGAAGAGTGCCTAGAAAAAGCTTATTTTGCATCGCACACTGTATCATAACCAATTCCATTGCTCCAGGATGTGATGAGGATGCCACATCACAATGGAATCCATAAGTTATACTAACTGATTCCATTATGATGCGGCATTAGTAGTGCAGCCAATACTGTGTTCGCGACCTCCTCTTCGAACATTGAATCTTTACGTAATGCGCGGTACATTCATAGTGATTTCTACAAAAGCCTGGATGCGACAGCATAAAAAAGATCAGGCAGGGACCTGCGCACCACTGCACAGGACTTGCTAAGCATCACTTGGCAGGACCCGCCTAACCACTACCAGCGTTTTACAATTTGACACCGCAGCGCAGAGATGCAATAACAACAAAATTTTGAATGCTTTTGAATCCATTATACTCGGTTGACGTATCCGATTCAATACATTGTGCTAAGCTACACCGCGGATGTCGCATCGCATAGGAACTTCTCTTGTGAAACTTTTTTTTTCAAGCACATGAGCAAGCACATACCTCAAGATTTGTCTCCCTGCACATGAATTTCTTATTCATGCAAAACGCTTGAAGCATGCGCCTGAGCGGAGTAATATCTAAAACAAGGTGCATATCTCAAGTAGATTAGTGCGATACCGAGACTGGTATCGTTCTCGGTATCGGGTTCGATTTCGATACTGGTCTCGGTATCGATTTTTCGATACCTGGTATCGAAGTATCGGTCTCGAAATCGAGACATCAGGTCTCGGTATCGATTTCTATTGTTACAAACGCTATCATTTCCTTCTTTTGTGCAAACTCAGCTTGTTGCTACTAATTTTTCTTATTTAGTGCCAGCGATGATGCGTTTTAAACAAAACGGTGGCTTTACTGATGTACTGAAAGTTCAATTTTTAACTTAGCTAAATAACGTGAGTTTAAAACTACTGTAGTTGTCTTCTTTTTCAAAGGCAGACACATACTACGTAGACAGCCGGAAGGAAAAACTTTTCAAAATAAGCCTATATTTTTCAAACCTTCATAGAATTTAGAGGAAAACGACTTATTTAGTTTTCGTGCTAACAAGTTTTAAAAACGTACTGCTTTCTTTTCCCTTATCCACAGATTTCTAACTATAATCACACCTTCAAGTTGTATTCATGAGTGACAGACATCGCTCGTCGTCAAACGTCAAGGTGTGTCGAATGTCAAAGATATAACATCCAGGCACCGAACCATTTGGGCCGAAACGATCATTTAATATTTCTTTTTTCTTTTATTGAACAAAAGGTATACAATATGAAAAAAGAATTCTTCTTTTTTTTGTTTTAACTTCGTTTTTTCTGTATTTTGAGTGAATATCCGAATGTTCGAAAGCTTGCAGAGAAATACATTTGTATTTAACAAGCAGAAATAGTATGATTAATTTACCATCTAAAGTCTAGTTCTCAGACAAACAGGGGAACAATACATTACGATTTACAAATAAGAGAAGGAAATTTCAATACGTTACTGAGTAGTCAAAAAGCAGTATAACAAAAGTAACACACATGATTAGAAAAAAAGTGAAAGAAAGCAGTGTCAGTGAGGACATAAAGACAATGCTCTTAATTTTCTGTATGAGTGCGTACCCAGAAAATAACAATGGTAGAAACAAAGAATCGATACCGATACCGATACTTCGAGACCTAGGATCGATTTCGATCCCGATACCTCGAGACTCTCGATATCGGTCTCGCACATATCTAATCTCAAGAAACTTTAAGAAAGTACTGCATTATCGATTTTCCGGTTTATAAATAGCTCCAGCTTCGTTTTTTAGACTTGATTACACCATGTTTTACTCGGACTTTTCTTTGAGAACATGATGCAATCAGTTTTTTAGTCTTTCTCGACCATCTGGCAATCTCACTATGCCATAATCTTTATCTACAAAGGAAAAGAAATCATTTTCAATGGAAAGTTCATGACAGTTCAAGGTGAGTACATAACAATGCTAACTTTCTACTATTCACTCTACCCTTTAGAATCTTCATGTTATCTTTGTTACACTGCTGAATGTAACTTTTCGATAATCTGTGATGTGCTTGTTCGAGAAAAATGTTCCCCTCAGATTGACGAAGTTCGCTCCGCGTATTTCTCAGGTTTGCTTCGAAATGTGACTGGAATTTGATCTCAAAATAAAAGTGAGAAAGGTTGATGTCTTTTAAGGTTCGGTGTGAGTTTTACCGATAAGGTAACGTTTACCGTATGTGAAGAAAACATTCACGCTTGAACTTCCAGAGAAGCGTATCCGTAAATACTAGACGCTAGTATCAATTCGTTGCTAGAACCAATCGAGCATCCTGTGAATGAGGCGGTATAGCTTGGCACCCAATCCTCTATGCATCAAACAGGACCAAACTGATACTTGCTACATCCTGAAAGCCGCCAACGGCAAAGCGATCTTACGCCAAGGAAAC